AAGGTCTAAGGCTAAAGCTAAAGGCTAGGGCTAAGGTCTAAGGCTAACTAAAGGCTAGGGCTAAGGTCTAAGGCTAAGTCTAAGACTAAGGCCAAGGCTAAGGCTTAAGGCTAAGGCTGGGACCCAACCCTGCCACTAGATTTTCCCTTGGGGTCGGCGGCTGCATGCGGTAGCCTGGTAAATAACAAGAGGCTAGGGGGTGCCCTTTAATCAGGCCCTCATTAAAGGGGCCCTTACCTTGAGTTTGTCATAAATGTGTATACTTGGGCTCTTACCGCTCACGCTCCCTTTCGCGAGTCTCTCGCGGCTCAGGCTTCATCTCACGTTCCGGCTTCTTCTCGAAAGAGCGCTCTGAAACCCGCTCCTCTGGCAGGCAAACTTGCACTTCAATTCATCACCAGTAGCAGGTTGCACACAAGTTGTCGCTATGAACCAGGTTTGCACCGTCAAGGACATGGTTTCAATGACATACCATTACAATTTGGCATTTTATGTCTAGTAACAAGAAGCTACTAGGAACAAGTGCATCGCTTCTAGTAACAAGTGCCTTACTACTAGTAACAAGAAGCTACTACTTATTAGTGAATTGAAATCTCAGATCTTTGCCAAGTGGCCCTGTCCACAGGCGTCACCCGTGGTACTGGGGCACCGATCGGGCGGGTGCTGGGCGCCTTGGTGGATGGTCCTCGTCTCCATCCGTTGACGGAGATTGAGGGGGGGTTGGGCGCCCTCAAATTGGAGGTTGAATCAGGGTAAAGTCTTGGAAGATGAGAATGGTCAGAGTGGATCTTGTCTGAATCTTGTTCGATACTGTTCAATTGTTCAATCTTGCACCTTTGTGAATCTGAACAAAGCATCAAAGCAGCGCTCACAACTTTTCTGTGTCTCGGCTGTTGTGTCTGGGTCCCTCTGGCAAACTCTCAGACCTCGCTTGCGGAACCCATGCTCCACCCAACGACGGATGAAGCCCGTCTGATGCCCCATTCACCCAATACCCCATGAAGATTCTATCTGATTTAGATGCAACATGATGCAACTGGAACGGACAACTACTTTGCAGAAAAGTTGGGCACTCCGGATTTCAGGTCTATTGAGACCCATGGATGCGATGCTCAAAGCTTCTCCAACCAGGGCAAATGATTGCTGAGGCTCTCTGGCACGTACCTCTCTGTAGGTGAGCAGTGGCTGTGCGAAGCTTTGACATCCTTGTGTGGAAGTGGGCTCGACTGAAAGTTTCTCTGATCGAGACCCACGATGTCCACTGTCAATGGCATACTCGCATCGCTCTATGCGGTGTGGACGGTGACATTAGCCTGTGGAGAGAGGCGATGCTCCCAAAAATACCCTGCCACTTCCTTCCTGCCTGTCAATTCAGAGCTTTACCACTGCTTAGCTTGGCCAATACAATTGCATAAGCTGACAGGAAGGAGGGTCAGATCGAAACGATCTTGGTCCAAAAGAATGAAGCTAAAGAGTAAGCTGGCACAGCATCGCTAGCCTTCTTTGGGCAGCCTTCAAGAGAATTGCTTCGATATCCTGCATTGGTGACTTTCCCAAGATTTGCAAGGCCCGAGAAACAACTTCCACCCCACCTTTTGGTCAAGACTTTGCTTCTACGGTGCTTTGAGGTTCAGCTTGTTCAGACGGAGCTTCAGACTTCTGTGGCCTCAGCTGAGGGCAGTTTTGGGTGCTGTAAAAGTGAGTGATGGATTCAGAAATGGTCAATGAAATGCCGGCTGAGTGACTTTTCCTCTGGCAGTGGTGGCAGCTCCTCCTGTTCTTGCGGCTCCTCATCTTTTTCCTCTGCGTCCTCCAGTGGGTGCTGTGATGCCAGAGTCACCACCCCTTTGCCCAAATTGAGCCAAGCTTCCCAGGTATCGTCATGGCTATCAGCTGGCAAAAGAGGCGAGCTGGGCATACGCAGCACTAGGTCTGCTATTTCAGCACGATCAAGGCACGCTTCTGCCCAAGCGCACCATTCTGCCTGGTGAACATGTTTCGATGTTCAAGAGATGTTCAAGAGCTTTGTCATTCAGAGACCCAAGTCACTTTTCAAAAAATGTTTTGCTTCAGAAGTTGACTGGCTCAGCATGTCTTTTCGTTCATGATTAATTATATAAGGTTCCTGCAAGAGAAAAAAATGTAGGTCGGATTCGTTCATAAATATCACGGCCTGTGTGAGCAGCCCATCACCATCTGAATCGGCTTCGTCAAAGATCACATCGATACCTCGAAAACCAAAAGTACGGATCTGCTTCAAGATTTGGGCAGGGATCAGATTTCAGGATTGAGATGACAAATGCTCCATGTCGGGCAGCTACATGCCAAATGATTCCTGCTTGCTGCTCAAATACAGTCGGACGGGACATCCATGTCGGCCGCACTGTCCTGCAAAACCTCCAAGGTTCACAAGCTGTACATATGCATGGTACAAGTACTAAGTACCAAAAAAATCGAGATCCGCAACTCCACAATCATATCAGTCACGAACCTTCCAGCAAATATGACCAGTTGATTTCAGAAGTGCCTTCTGCATTTCTTTCTTGTCAATGGCCTCAAAGCCGCGTACTGGCTCAAGTACATGTCTGTCCAAGCTTTACCCAGTGCCATCTCAGTTTTGATTCCAGCATGACACGACATGCCTGGTCTCCGTTCACATCATAGGATTGAAAGATCTCGAGCAAGACTTGTGGCTTGCCTGAATTGAAGAACACAAAAGGTAGTGACTTGCAAGAATGGGTGACTTCAAGCAAACTGCGTACACTACACTCAGCCAAGGTGCGTTTTTCCTCATTCATTTCTTTCACATCTCTCAAACGACCGCGGCCATTCGTCAACTCCGGCGGCTTGAAGGTATCGACCGAGCCGTCCTGTGCAATGAAGCTCGCTACGAGGCATCGCATCATCTCGCATGAGATGAATGTGTCAAACAAAAATATGTGTTTCCTGTTTTTCTGTCTTTTCTAGTCTTATCACTTTAAATCCTTGGAAAATCCTTCTTGTGTTGTCCTTCCTTGCTTCCGTGCTTCCTTGCTTCCTTGCTTCCTTGTTTCCTTCCTTCCTTGTTTTCTTTCTGTCCTTTTTTCTTTCGTGTTTATTTATTTTTTTTCTTTCTTTCTTTCTTTCTTCCTTCCTTCCTTCCTTCCTTCCTTCCTTCCTTCCTTCCTACCTACCTACCTACCTACCTTACTTCTTTTTTCTGTCCTGCACTGTGTCTTCGGCCATCGAAGCTGCCCGAGCAACCTTGTAAGCCATAGAAGCTGTGGACCAACACATTTGATTGACTCTATGGCCTAACTCTGCCAATTTGGCCCCCATCATCTGCTTCTTGGTTTATGCCTACTATGCTAACCGGGGCCCTGCGCGAAACCACATGTTTTTCAATTTTTTTGGGCTTGGAATACGTTTTTACAAGTTGGGGCACATGCGGGGCCTACGGCTTAGCTTCGTACGCATACACACTGTGTCCATATGGGGGGGGTGGGGTGGGCTGGGGTCTAGTTTCCTACACTTGCGCGCAGACGTTTCATACACGGCCGCAAACATGCAGCATACTACCGCACTTTGTCTTTCGTTGTGTCTTGTTCTCTTGTTGCGTTTAAGCCGGTACTTTTTCGCTTTCAGGGACCACCCTGTGTTGAAAAATTTTGCGCGACCGATCCGTGGGCTTTTGACTCTGCCTTGGACCTTTTCACTCAACCATCTGGCCCTCTTTTTGACTTCGTTTCAGCCACTATTACCATTGTGGACAAAGGACCGTTGGACTGGGAGGGGCTAGGTGGTTGCTGTGGGTTCTTGTGTCAATTTGGGCTTCGCACTTCACGTCCTTACTCCACAGACGTTCGTCGAACATCTATGCTGTATCTTGTTGTGCATACATATTGTCCCGACATTTACTAGGTCTACGTACTCGTTTACTAGGTTCTTTCAATTTCGCTGGAACACACAGGGCGATCTTTGGAAGGCGGTCACCGGTCGCCCGGTTGATCCGCTGAAGAATTAAAAGAAACGTCGCTTTCGCCTCGGCCCTTCCTCAAAGCAACCTTTTCTCCGCACCTTTTATATTGAGCCTGCCAATACAAAAGCCAGGTGACCTCTTAAGAGCCTATCTCAAAAAAACAACAAAAACCAAGGGTTTTAACCGCATTGCACTTGATGTCTTCCAAAGAAACGTTCGTTTCGCGCAGCGCCCCGGTTAGCGTCGATGCCTTGTTTATGAATATTGCGTAGTATTTCCATGCAGTTGATGCTCGATAAGCAGCATCGCAACATGTTTCGTTGCTTTCTCTGGCCAAGCAGCAGAGAGTTCTTCGCCAGTAGAGGGCAATTCACGGGACGGGGCATAGCCTGCTTTTTTGGCAGTGGTCTGAAATTAAACAATCCTCAAAGCCTTCATGCCAATATTGTGTTGCCCACTACCAGTGTGAAGTCCTTGCAAGCTGCGTGTTTTGCAAGGATTCAATCCCAACTTGTTCAGTACATACACAGCCAAAATTCACCTTACCTCCTCCATTGCTTTGGATCCAGAGTTCCAGAATATATATATATATATGTTCAAAGGAAAATAGATGCAACATCTCAATGACTTACAGTAAGCTCATTGTTCACCCCTGCCAAGACTTAGTGAGAAGGAACCCAAAAGCTTGTCAAAGTCCAAAAGGTCCTTCAATCCAAACGGCAGCCGAGGCACTGGAGCTGGAGGCATCGCTCCGCTTCACCTCTTTGCCCAAAGCACCCGCATCCAGCAAGTCTAAGGCACCAAGACTTCGGATGCATTCCTCAATGTCCGCCTGAAGTGCTCGACTTCGGATGTCCAACGGAATATATCTTGTCTGTTCGACGAACATAGTTTGTGGTAGTTTGTGGATGTGTAGGTACCGCAGTCATCATCCCAACGAAGAAACTTGCAGTCAGCGAGTGCTGATACCAGACCTGATTGATTGCAATCTTGTGTGTTAAAGTAGTGTCGATCTACGAACGCATAGGCATATGCAAAAGAAGCGGCACTTCATCCTACGTATGAGCATACGGCATGACCGTGTCGAGAGTGCTTCAAACAATGTTGACTGCAATGGGCAATGGATGTACGTCGATTGTTTTCAAGGTGTTACGCACATATATCACGGGACACTCTGTCCAAAAAAACAAAAATCGAACCGTTTCGACCACGCGAAGGACTGTTCAAGAAAGAACAAAAGTTATTTTACATTATACAAAAAGTTACTACTCACGTAGCTTACGTCTTACTCCTGCCCACCTCCCGCCAACTCCCTTTACATGAGGTGTTTGCCCTTTCAGGAGCTCTGTGTGAGTTGTGTGGCCTGAGTGACTTGGTATTGGCCCAACTCATCATGGCGGTCGTACCAAACTCCCGGTCGCTGGTCGATGCCCCTAGTAGCGTCCTTGTTCCTAGTAGCGATGCCAGGAGCCCCTAGTAGCTTCTTTGCTCCTAGTAAGAAGGCCAGGAGCCCCTAGTAGCGTTCTTGCTCCTAGTCGCGATGCCAGGAGCCCCTAGTAGCGTCCTTGCTCCTAGTAGCGATGGTTGCCTGCAAGGTCTCTGCAATGACTTCAACCTTGAGGACGCCCTGAAATGGGTCCTGCCGATCGCCAAGCCATTTTGAACACAGGTGCTCAGAAAACGGAGATGCGGCTCTAAACGCAGAGGGATTGAATACAAAGTGGGATTCAATGCATGTGGGTAAGATCACGCCTCAATGACCAAGCCAATCTCGAAAATTCCGAAAAGGGCCCAACTTGCAAAACCTTGGGTGTGACTGTCACGAATATGACAGGTGAGACACAATTATGCATTAAGCCAGGATGACTCCACACATTTCCACACCACTTGCTGAGCTGGGAAAATCGATAAAATAATTCAAAATCAACCATCATGCAAGCAAGCCACACGTGACTGGAATTGTATACGGCCCCAGGACATCGACTAAAGCAAACGGAAGCCTCGGTGGAGATCAGTTGTTGTGGAAAAGTTGCCGAGCGCCGTGCCCAACGGGGCTAATCTTCAGCTGAGGCTCGTGAGCATAAATAACGACAGGAATCGCGATGTGTGTCGCACGTAACCTCAGTCTAGCCCAACATATGATCTGCCAGTGCGCCAAACAGTTACATGATGACAGAATCTAGCATGGTTTGCCAGGCCAACATTCCTTGACGACGGTCACCTGTTACCTGTGCGTCGAGACACTCAAGGGCACAGGTGTCTGTACGAGGCGCTCACAAGCTCCAATCGTAGCACCTTAAGCCCAGCAGCAAGCAGGACTTCTCGATGGGACCGGCTTCAAACCAAGGCGAAGCTCAAAAGTCCAGGGCCAAGGCTAAGCTTTTCCAGGTTTTGCATGAGCCATGATCGCTCTCGATTTGTATACAAAGCCTTTGACAGGTAAAATGAAAGTTCACGCAAGCTTGCGTTGAAACGACGTCACTTGCACATCCATCAAATGAGTCCTTTGATCGTCTTTCGCATGCAGATTACGATCAAAGCTTGCAACAAGCTGAGTATACAAACAAGTGACTGGCCCTAGTTCCACGGTCCACAGTCAGATGATATAATCTTTATAATCTTTAGAAAATATAAGAAATGTAAAAATATATTCTTTAAAACACAAAGTGCCTTGTCGCCTGTGCCATTCGGGACCTCCCTAATCGCATAGGCCAGCCTTGGTGGCACGTTGCAAATGGCCAGAGTCAAATGGATCTTGTTGCGACTGAGCAACTGGTTGACAATAAAGAGTGGTCGATTGGAGGAAAGTGGCAAGCTGTACTCCGATTGAGGATTGCCTCAGGGAGAAATCCTGCCAAAAGTTTCATTACATAAACTGATGCAGCGGAAGGCAACCAAAGGCAGGCTCACAGCTGGCATGGTTTGAATCTCAGTCAAGCTTCAGGCAAGTTCACCCTTGGGACCAATAAGTCGTTCCAGCTTCGATCGCATAGCTTTGTCCTGGACATTCAATGGTTTGGCTGGAAGGGAAACGCTTCAAAATCAGAGTTGATAGAGGCTACAACCGGGTGCTGTCTGTCCAGGGCTCAGGTCTTGCATTTCACTATTTCTTCGTCGCAGCAAAAAAACTGAAAGACTGCCTCTTCTACCTGGATAAAGTTCAACTGCTGCCCACTTGATTCCTAGTAGTCTGGCGCCCGCCTTCTTGCTACGAAGGTGCTCAATCATGCAGTATGGAAATGCTTGCACTAAACGGCCTGCAAAGGAACAAAGAAAATCACGGCTGAAACCATTCAAGTACCTTCTAGGCCTCAATTGATTTAAGCATAAATATATTACAGTATAGTATTATATATGAATAGACTGTTTAAATTCGCTGGAAAAGGACGATCAAAAATACAATGACTGCAACGCAAAAGCTCTTGGAATTGCAGGCAAAAAGCATATGTGTGCTGAGGTCTGGGATCCCATCTCCTCTCTCCACAAGATGGCTGCACGAGCCAGGTTCCTGGCAGCGGCTTCATGTCAAATGCTCAAACAAACCCAGCTTGCAAAGCGTTTTAACATCCAAACTGATCGTGCACCTGCCATTATCCAGGATTTGCTGCCAGATTTGCCGGCCCTCCCAAAACCGCGAATAGGCCTGGGTCCAACCGCCACGCGGTGGAGAAGAAAAACCATCCTCTCCAAGTCGTGGTCTCTTGTGTTCGGCATCAAACCATGATTAGAAACTAGAACCTTCCATGGACCTCGTCTTCCTTGGTACAAGAAATCGAGTGTTGACTCTCAATCTGCAGAATTGCGACCGTGTTTGTTCGGAAGACCAAGAGCAGGCCCAACGCCGAGACCAAGAGCGCGTGTCCAGTTGTACTAGCGTGCAAGAACTTTCCCTGCATTGCCAGGTTATTCAACATCATTCTCATGTCTGCAAAGGATCTGTGATACTACCAAAAAGAAACCAAATAAAAATGTAGAAGCAAATCACACCCCATGCCTGAGGCATTAGCAAAGCGCTCGCCAGGAAGACTATGACTGCCACTGAAGTTGTACAAACAACAGGACCAAGAATGCGCCGCAAAAGATTAGATGTACCAAGACCTCTAAGATTCGCAATCCAATCCTGGGTGAAACCAGAGGCAAAGGCATGACACCGCTTCTCTCTCGCCCCTCCCATCTGACAGAAGACAGTCTTCTGCCCTTTGTTCCTAGTAGCTTCTTGCTCCTAGTAGTAAGGCCAGGAGCCCCTAGTAGCGTCCCTGCCTAGTAGCGATGCCCTTTGTTCCTTGCAAAGTCTTGCTGCATTCTGCCTAAGGCACCACAGAAGTGTAACGCCGAGCCCTGATTCTCTGGCGCGTCGGAGATTCTGTTGATGGACGTGGCACTCCTCAAGATACTATAAGAAAGAGAAGCGTCAGAACATTAGGTTGGAGGTCATCGCTTCTAGGTTGGAGGCCATTGCTATTAAGTTGGAAGCGTCGAAACATGGTGAACACTCCCACTCTCTCTGACCGTCTCCCTCTCCTCGTGTGCTCCGCATGCCTTGCAACGAGGCCAGCACGGCTCCGCTGATGGCGGTCGTTCGAGCTGCGGAGTCCCGCGTCTCCCGTGGCCGATCTCCTCGAACTCAGACGGAATCACGAAGCCAAGCGTGTGCTCATCGTGTGCATGCATCCCCGCCTGGTCCGAACCATACCTTTCGCACCTGGTAAACTGGGCTTATGGAAGGTGTTGGTGGCAACTGCTCCGCATAGAGCGCCATGGCTGGCCATCAAAGAACAAGGACCCTCTGAAATTGTCAGCATGTCTTTCGTTTCCCAGGTTCTTCAAACTCTACAGTCTACAGTGCACAAGAAAACTCTAAGACTCTACACACTTTGCTGCTTGGCCCACTTGACGAAACAAAGTAAGCACGTCTCTTAAGACTTTTGGCCTCACTTCATGTTAGAGGAACTGCGAAACTTAGGTGCCAATGACTCGTGACACCCTTTGCAGACATTCATGGATGGTCATAAGTTAAAAGCTTTGAGCTATGTCAAACAGCAAAATCCAAAACGCAAGCTGCAAGCAGCGATCTGATGTTCAAGAGGCAGGCTATCACTGACAATGCCAGATTTCCAAGGGCCGTTGAGATGTGGGCAGGAGCCGGTGGAATAGAAGGGCCCGAGCCAGAGGCTCTCCGTCCCTGGCAACAAAGCTTCAGTTCTGCGATAACTTGAAAACCTCAAAAACCCCTCACCTTTGGAGGTTCAGATCCCAAGGAAGGGAATTCTTCCTTCCTCTCCATGGGCACAGGCTCTGGCACCACTTTTCCTGGAGGTGGCTGTGCCCAAGGTGCAGGCCTGTCGCGAGCTTGCGTTGCCCACATTGCACAAATTCTCCAAATCCTTTCCACAGGTCCTTGCCTTGGGCCAGCTTGTGCTGACAAGCTGCTCCTAAAGCCACACTCAAACCAATGTTGTTGCTGTGGAATTGCAAGGACCTCCTACTCTTTGAGACTTTTCTCCCATTCCTTCAAACAGCAAGCCGACGTGACACTCCTGCCCCAAGCAGTGGGGCGCAGCTGCGCAGGTTGGGAAGTCAAGTTGCCCAGCCGTGGGTTCCTTGCAGAAAGCTGTTCATCTACAAGGACTTTGGCGACTCTATAAACAGTCTATACCATGCACCATTTAGCTGAATAGACTTAAGAAGTTGAAACATGCAGGCTTCACTGCTGTTGGGACTCCACCTCCTCTTCCTCAATGACATCCTGAGGCTCTCGGGGATTCTATATAAATGACAGTCGCAGCCCAGTGTCAACAATGTCCACACCATCCCCTCCTCCTTGGGTCGACCCCAGCCACCCCCACCAGCAGGCACCAGGCGGATCCCTGGATCCTGGCGACGCTGTCTTTCTTGCCCTCGGAATCCCATTAAGAATCTGATCTGAAATGAATGAAAAACTACAACTGTAAGAAAAAATAAGTGCAAACCGTGCATCGCCCATTACATATTTTTAGCTGCTGGCATATGCTAGCTCTTCGTACCAATTAAGAATGATGTCTGCCTGGCCCTCATTCTCCGACTTGAGGGACCCCAGCTGGACTGGACGGGGAACCTCAACCCTGGCCAAGAGGAAAATCTCAACATCTCACACACACGATGATGTAGAAAAGTGAGTTCCACGGGCAGCTCAACAATCTGGAAGAACATGTCAGCAAGGCCGGGGAGCCGCTCTGGATTGCCTAGCCAACCAAGTAAGTTTTAGCAAGTAAGTGCAAAAAAAATCTCGGCATTCCACAGCATTTCTGAGACCCTCACCACATTCCAGTCTGGATCGGGCACACCAGAGAACAAGGATCGAAGGAACGAAAGCTGACTTGTGAGCTCCAGATGGCTTTCCGGGGCGAGTGAGCGATGGACTGACTTTTACCTTCACCTGTATCCTTTGTCTCCTCAACTTCAAAAGCTTACTCACTGCTAATCGATGTGCACCATCTACCGGTCTGTGGTCCCCACCGGATTGGATACCAGCCCTGTTCGAAGTTGCTAAGTTTCAAGCAAGCCTGCTACAGGCTTTGTTGAAAGTTGAATGACTCAACCACGAAAATAACCCAGTTGCACAAAACTGAAAAGCCACATCTTGGTGGCAGCAAAAGCTTTCCTTGCTCCCCCGATAATCTCGCTTTCCTTCAGATGACAGTCAAAAACGCATGCACACGAGAAAAACACAGCTCCTCAGAAATGACTGCGCTGCGGTTTTCTCCCACAGTATACCTCGGTTGAAACTATCCTCAAAATCATCTCGCTTGGACGGCGTCAGGCATTATAGATTCAGCCGTCCAAGCTATAACACCTGTTTTGGGCCACAAGTAACATAGCAACCTATACGCAGCAAAAACTACATTTTGCGCGGAAAGAAAATAGACCCCCCTCAGTTGAAGTTTTGCTCCCAAACAAGGCCAGTGGTTGCAATGACCACTTTCGTCTTCGGGATTGCGGCTGCACATGCATGCGTGGCAAGATCATATGGAGTGCGTGCTGTGTTGGCATCCGCCTCCTCCCTTCCTACAGGTCTGACGAAGAGCTGGGCATGTTCAGCTTCCAGATCGAGGGAAGTAAGGAGCTTGGTGATTGCCCGGCCAGCGGGGTTTTCTTTGTGAACCACGCCTATCTTTAAATTCGTAGTGTCGTAGTGATTGCGATCCAAGCCAGCAGAAAAGTTAAAGAGCGGGAGCACTGATTTCAACCAGTGTTCTTGAACAGGCCTGTTCTTCAGGCCCGCTGCCCCTCTCCTTCGAGAGTGCAAACGAGAACGATTCATCTTCGAAGCTCATACCTGAATCGTTGCCCAACTACAAAGAAGTCATAGCATTGTTTCACCAACGTTTCACCTTGCATGTACAAAGTCGAATCTCCTTTCGTGTTCGTGGTTTTGGGGTCTGGTTGTTGTTTTTTGGTCGGTTGGTTGCTCTCTGCGTGTCTGTTTTTGCTTCTCGGTTCCTTCACCAGGAGACTCATTCAAACGTAGTCAATGATGACTTGTGCACCATGCACACATAGCGTCTCCATCCGTGCAAAAAAAAAGAATGGGGTGATGTTTGCTGCACACTTTGTGCACGGCTGGCAGGGCAGTCGTCCACTCTGGACAAGGACCAAGGTTTTCAGGGATTCAGTCAATTGAGAAACCGACTCAATCGTGGGTAGCTTCGCTCTGTCAGTGCAGGAGCCTTAAAGTTGCTGTCGGCTTACATGTGGCAAGACAGACAGGCGAGAGAAGAGCACTCAACACTGTGCCTCCTGTCTGTCAAATGCGTCGGAGGTTTGCCCATCCCGTAGGAGGAGGTTGACCCACTTCGGAATTTCAAAGTGAGAGCACAGATCGAATGCATTGCTTTCTGCGTAAGGTCCTTTCCAAAGTTGTTCTTTTGCCAATCATGAGTTCAAATTGTGCCAGCTGTCCGCAATCAAGAAAAGCTCGGTGGGCAACAGCAGCAGTCTGGGCGGGATGTCCACTTCTTGAAGAGCACTGCACATTTGTGAATTTGCTGTTGTGTGGCAGCCAGATGTGCTGAAGACTCATGCAGTGTGAGAAGCTGGATCCCGGATGGCTTCGATCGACGTGCTAGACAGGTCGACAAAGGCAAGTCGTTTGCAGTTTTCACATGCTACAGTCCCTGGAAGGTTAATTTCTGGTGGCTCAGGCACTCAAGTCCGGATGAACTAAAACACTCCACTGGCACCCCTCCAGATGGGGGTGGCAGTGGGAGATTTGACAACGAGGCTTGGGCAAGCGTGATTTGGGAGAGCGTGAGGCAGCTCAGCTCTCAAATGGGATGACGTCCGAGGTTTTTGCTGGGACGCGGATGGCTTTCGGGTGTCATCGGCAACCTGGCAACCATCACGCTGCAGCTGCGAAGGACGTCCCATATTGGGTCCTTTAGAGGTTTCTGGGTGCCCGGATAAATTGGATCCACTTCACATCTTCCAGTTCGTCCAGACGATTCCAGTTCGTCCAGACGATCATGTTCTCGAACACACATTGGCATGAAGAGGTCTTCTCCAGCAAGTGTTGTGAGTGTGAGCTGGCAGGTTGTGCTGTAGAGGCTTTCGTCGTCCATGGGGTCTTCCTCAAAAGACACCCTCATACTCTTCACCTCATTGGGCTCAAGGTCGTCGTCAGCGGCCTCGTAGAACACTTCAAGCATGTCGTCATAGTTCTCTTGGAGATCACAGGCCGTGCAGGCAGTTTGTGGATGTTTGTAGCTTCTTCCAAAGGCTGTTGCCTTTTCCTCGACCAGTTGGATGGTGTTTGGAGATGGCTGTAGCCATGTTTCCACCTTTTTTTTTCCACGAGTACGGACGCCATGTGGGCATGGTGCCCAGGTCATCGTTGAAGGAAGGGAAGAACAGTCAGATGGTGGAGAAAAGAACAAGGACAACAAAACCACCCAAAACCAAACAAACCACAGCCCACAGGCCGAGTCTCCACCATCTTGTAGTCTTTCCTCTGTGCTAGGTGAAACAAGTGAAACGAAAACTAAAGACTATCAATGGGCCTGAATTCTCGAGCGAAAAGCATAGCAGCGCAGGTCTGTGTTCTGGCAAAGTCTCCAAAAAAGGCTTCAAATGGACTTTACTTCTTGCTCACTAGTGACCAGCGGCCACCCAACAGTGCGGCAAAACCATGGTCACGATGCAGGTCAGGAGTGTCGCAATGCTCCAACGCCGGTTGCATCCATGTCAAAATGGAGTGGCGGTAGCTATGCTGCATGCCGTGGAAAAGACCTTTCTTGTAGCACAACCCATGCAACTGGTTGCCCTTACAAGTCCAGAGGCATGCTACCAGTCGGTGATCAAACAGTGGCGGCCATAGCAAACGACGAAAGCCTGCAGGTAAGGGTGCGAAAGGGCACACCTCCCCGAAGGGAGGTCAACTCAGCACCCTTCGGCACACAAAGGTGCCAAAACGGGGTGTCTCCTAAATCCGTGAAGTGCTGCGTCATTGCAAAAAGTGATCTGCTGCGTGCAAGGCCCGTGTGAAACAGGTGAAACTTTGGACTATCCTAGCATGGTATCTGTACCTCTTTGTACAAAATTGGAAATGTCGGACATCAACAAAGGGAACTAAGGTTCCCCCTGGGCATCCTCCATTGCCACTCTCTACCACCCGCCTGTTAGGAACGAGAAGCTAAGGCTCTCATTCCTATTGGCTCACAGCGCTGCGAATGGCGAAAAGAGGTTGTTGTCCTACTTAGTGCTTGCGCATCTCCTTGTCCCTTGCTGGCGGTGTGCTCATCCGCCATTCCAGCTGCGAACACATTGTTGGTCTTTGCAGGTCTTGAGAGTCTTCTTCCCTTTGATCACTGGCATTTGCCGACAGTTCTCGGCTCGGTTTGGACTAGACGGGTCGCCCCCCTTTGTCAAGTACACATGTCCTTCGCTATGCGTTGTTCCTTTCTTGCTTGCACCTTGCTCCCAAGTGCGTGCTGCCTGCAAGAGCGCATAGCGCCCTGGTACTCAGGGATGGAACCTGCTATGGAAGGGTACTCGAAAGGAAGGCTTGTTTTGCGATGATCTTCAGCTCCCCTATGGAATTGGCCTACCCTGGACTCGCGCTAAGGCGTACGCCCAGACTCTTAATGAGCGACTGTGAGCTCACGAGAGCTGTGGCCAGAAAGGCTTGTTGTCATCCAAGCCCAGGGGTATATCCCATGTCCGGAATCATATGCAGCCAGGGTGGCCATCTCATAGCAGGACAAATGGCGAAAGCATTTTCTTCAGCGTAGACTCCTCGCCATTTGTGCCTTCCCGGCATTTTGGCAAGCCTCTTAAAAGCAGTGCAATCCAAGAAGGCCCTACTTCCAATGTATCTCAGTGAGGGCGGGATGGCAATTTCAACTAGGGCTGCACAGTTCATAAAGGCTTTGACTCGGATTGTATGGAGAGTAGTCGGAAGGAGGACTTCTCTGAGGCTAGTACAGTGCACAAAGGTGAATTCAGGAATTTCCTCAACCTTGGTGTTGCAAAGGTCTACACACTTAAGCAGTCGGCAACTGTCGCACGCATGCGCTCCAATAGCTACAAAATGCTTTGTGAGAGCGAGTGCGGTGATTCCCGTAGAGCTAAGACAGCCCGGTGCTAGCTCACTGGTCCTAGCTTGCAGTGCTGACCCTCGGGGGGATGGAAGCTCACTCAAGGTAAACTCAGCAAGGTTAATACACCCTTGGAAGAGGTATTGCCCTAACTTGGCTTCGCTGTTGAACCTATTTGCAACCCCTTCCGCTGCATACACCCATTGCAAGGAACAGCATTCCGCAAAGGCTTTGTATCCAAAATCTCGACAACCCGGAGCCAAGACACTGTTTAGTAGTTTGCAGTCACGGAAGACATTATCGGAAATGCCTATCACAGTGGCCGGCAGTTTGACTATGCGGAGCTGTCGGCAATTTTGCCAAGCCTCTGCTCCAATGAGCCTGATGCCTGACTCTACACTGACGTGCCTCAGACGTGGAACCCCTGCAAAGGCCCCTTCTGGGACGATTTCTTCTGGGTTCATAGGGACATGAACGGCTAGCGGAATATGATGGATAGGGCAACCCTCAAGTTGTTCTTGAGATGGCAACATAACGCTGCAGTTCCTGAAGACAATGGTGTATGCCATGCCTTGCTGTAGCTTGTCCCAAATTGGGTCCTCTAGGTATGTCTGTGTGGCAGTTTGTAAAAAGTCGATGGAGCACCCAAA